GTGGGGGGGTCAGCCAGTGTTTCAGGTTCTGGCTGGCCTCTTAACTGCAATAAAGCTAAACGTGTCTGGCTGGCGAGGCTGCAGGCGACGAAGCCGATCATTACGGCAGAGCTGGAGGGGCAGCTGTCCACGGACGCTGTTGTATGGAAAGAGGATTGTGTCCAAATTCAGCTGAAGCGCAGTGTTTATATTACACTGTGTAGCTCGTTAATAAGTTGGCATTACATAGGAAGCCGAGCAGCATGGGTGAAGTAGTGGAAAAAAAGTATTAATTGTTTTAAAAAAATCTAAAGAAAACTAACAATATAGATCACCAAAAAAAAAAAAACATTTAAAAAAATGTTAGGGGTGGAAATCATATGAAAAAGTTTGGGCACCCTTGTTAATTTTCCTGATTTATCTTTATAAATCATTGATTGTTTGGATTAAAAATCAGTTAAATATATCATATAGGGGAGAAGTGAAATGAAGTTATGATTTACAGAAAGTGTGCAATAATTGGTTAAACTAAATTAGGCAGGTGCATAAATTTGGGCACCAAAATAAAAACCTTAACTCAATATTTAGTAGATCCTCTTTTTGCAGAAAYAACAGCCTCTAAACACTTCCTATAGCTTCTAATGAGAGTCTGGATTGTGGCTGAAGGTATTTTAGAYCATTCTTCTYTACAAAACATCTCTAGTTCMTTCAGGWTTGRTGGTTTCTGAGCATGRACAGCTCTCTTTAAGTGACACCACAGATTTTCTATACTATTCAGGTCTGAGGACTGAGATGGCCRTTCCAGAACGTTGTAMTTGTTCCTCTGCMTGAATGCCTTAGTAGATTTTGAGCAGTGTTTAGGGTGGTTGTCTTGTTKGAAGATGCAGCCCCGGCTTCAGCAGCTTCAGCTTTGTCACTGATTCCTGGACATTGGTCTCCAGAATCTGCTGATATTGATTRGAATCCATGCGTCCCTCAACTTTAACAGGATTCCCAGTCCCTGTACTGGCCACACAGCCCCACAGCATGATGGAACCACCACATTTTACTGTAGGTAGCAGGTGTTTTTCTTGGAGTGCCGTGTTCTTTTTCCTCCATGTGTAACGGACCTTGTTCTGCCCAAATAACTCTGTTTTAGTTTCATCAGTTCACAGCACCTTATTCCAAAATGAAGCTTCTGGTCCAAATGTGATTTAGCATACCTCAAGCAGCTCTGTTTGTGATGTGGGCGGAGAAAAG